TGGATATTCCCAGCCATTCCCTGGCTGTGGATTGTCCCCGCCATTCCCGCCGCTCTCCCGGGACGCGGTGACAGCGGCCCTGCCCCGGGGCGCCCTCTGGCGGCACAACCGCCCCGCAGCCCGGGACTTAGAAAGGGCTCGTCCAAAACAGCCGAAAGGAATCCCAGCCGGGACTTGCGCCGGGACACACCAGAGGACAGCAGCTCTCTGGAAAAGTGTTCACGCGGTAGTGTCCACGTTAGGACCTCTGCTCGCTGTTTCTTGAGAGGTGTAGCTTCTTYTACAGAACGTACGAGTAGTACCTAGTGAACGATCTAAAATACCCTGAAATGCACATTGGAAGCATCTGGATCTCATGGAGAGGAGCGTTTATCTCGGAACTACAGTCAGAGAAATGCTATGCTTGGGGTAACAATGCTGATACCTGCTGAGTTCAGCCAACACGTATGCACGGCACGGGATGGATGCACAGAGCCTCCCACACTCCACTTTCCAGTCCTGAGTGCAGAGACTGTTATATTTCCCCTATTCAAAAATCTAAATATGCTATTCTATAATTCCACAGAGAGCTGAATTCCAGCCTACACACGAATTAGTCTGGAAATGAAAACTCATATTATTTGGGCAAATTTTAATTCCCTAAATACACTGCTGAAATGAGAGAAAGGGAGCAAGGCATTTCTAGTTCTAATAGATTATAGCACTATGCCAAAATCATGTCTTTATTATTATGCAACTTCATTATTTCTAGGATTTCTTTAGATTCCAAAATAACCAAGGCTTTGTGTTACACTTATGAAAACTTTTCCACCCTCCACAGTACCTTATCCTATTCTACTAGCATTCTGCAAATGACAGGTGAATTCCAAATATACTAACAAATAATTTCCCGATCTCTCTTCAATCCATTCTCTTCCTCTCCTTTAGTTGTTTTTACTTCCTGATTCTCCATCCAGTTGTTCCCCAGTCACAATATCAACTGATTTATCTTCAGACTGAAATAAAGCCCAGAACTTCAGCAAGTTTATCTACTCCCATCTGGCCTTGATCTCTAAGTTAATGACACGCTCTATTTTCCTGCCTCGCCATTTTCTCCTCTGCTTTCTTTGAACATTCCCCTTTCCCTTGTGCTCACTTGAACTCACTCTCACTAAAGCACCTGTAATGCCTTTGCAGCCACACCACAGGAACAGTAGTACAGCCACATCCTCTGGAAGTGCCAGTGTGACACAGAATTTTTCTTGAAATCTTGTCCTATGTAGCCCCCGTTGTGAGCAATCTCATCCTGATACAGTTTGGAGATGTACTCTGCACCAGACACGTCCCACTGTTCATAATCTAAGTTTAATCTCTCTCTCTGAAGTCTTTCAGAGAATATTCAAGTGTCACAGYAGAATCAAGATGACTAAACCTGTTTTTAACTCCCACATAAGGTCTCACTGTTACTTATGTTTTCATTGATTTYTCCATCCATAAATTGACAGGCTTCATTCTGGGCTTCTAGAGCACACTTGGGGATAAGAATAAAGTTATTTTTCTCCTTCAAAAATTTCTCTTCCTATTTTCCATAAGCCAAAATATTTTTCTTCCCTACCTGAATTACTACAGYAGCCTTTTCTGAAGCTCTGAATAGGATAGAAAATACAATTTTAAGGCTTTCAGACCCACAAAAATAAGCTTCCCAGGTCATAGCTCTGAATATAATATCTTTCCATCCCAATTTCCTGACCCTGCACAGACCAGGAAGCTGGAACAGTTGACCTCCCAAAGGCCTTTCCAATRCAACGTCTCTCTTTTGCACCAACAGATTGCCTCTCATTCTACAGCAAATTCCAGGCTATCCTTCCAATTCCTTGCCCCTCCTTCAGCATGGAAAGGTTACCTTCAGCTCCAACTGTCCCAGAGCAGCAACTTCTGTTATTGATTATTCAGTGTTTCAATTGAACATGTTCATACTCTTTCCCATACTTCCCTGAGAGCTGGGAAGAGCTTCCTAGCAAACAAGCAAAAGTCACTTCTTTCTCCTCCCATGTTTCTAACAGTTCCTCTCTGCAAAATCTACAAAAAATATTGAAAAAACCTCTTGTGCACCTGTTTTTTTTGCCAAAATGAGTGCAAAGGGGAAACCAGGCTGTGGTTGAAGTA